CCGTCCTCCATGGCGCAGTTGCATAAGCTGCGGGCTAGTTGGCAAGAGTCACTAGCAGTCATGGGTTCGATCCTCCGCAGAGGACCGAAGGATGCGCACCACTGATGAGCCCCAATAGGGCGAAATGGCCATCTGGTGCTTTTCCGGATAGCTGGTCGACATATCTGAATTGTCGGCTGATTGCGAGGTACAAAAGGGCAACATATGTCAAATCAATAGTTGATGTAGTCCTTAAGGTGGTCACATTCGAGTGACAGGTTTTTGTATTTGAAGACGGAAAAATTAGTTAAAGAAAATATCATCTGGAGCCTCCTGATATTTTTATGGAGCAATTTCGCCGTTTGGTAATCTTGTAAGGACGTCTAGTCAGCGTTAAAAAATTAGACCTACTGTATATGACTTTACAGTTTTAAAGTACAATAGTCTGAGCTGCTCAGAGGAACCCGCTTTTGTATGGCAAACATCTGTCGTTTATTTGTGAACACAGCGTCTAACTGGGCATCTTGTCTGGTCGAAACAGTCACTAGGTCCACCAAGTCAAGTGTCTTCAAGAATGTTGTATCCTTTCTATTCAAGTCGCCAGCAAGAATGCAGATTGAACAATCTAATTTAAGCAGTAGTGTTGAAGAAACTTGATCATCAAAAGCTTTACCTCCGATGCAGATGTGTCTGAAGCAATGTATCCGTTTCCAACAATGACTGATCGAAAGCCACTTAGGAACTTCGGTTTGCATTCAGCTAAATGGCAGCTTATAGAAATCATTGAGTACGTAAATATTATAGTTGCTGCGTTGCACCAACGTTGATGAACGTAAGTTATTACGCGATCAGATCTGATGGGAAAATAACCATTGCATTGAATTACCCCATTTTCCACATCTGTATGCAACCAGCTTTCTTGTAACAGAATAATTCCTGTATTAACATACTCATTTCGCTGCATAATGACACTGAGGTCAGTAATTTTACCAAGGAGCGAGCGAACATTACTAAAAAGTATCACTGGGTCTTGCGCTTTGTCGACAGAACAACGATTGAGGCCAGATTGGCAGCCAGCACGATGCTTGCGCTTTTTTCCAAGACATTTATTCCTAATACGTTTGCAAGTGTTCCTGACTTATGGCCGCACTCGATGAGGCACGAATTCAAGGCAGTGACACGTAACGTTTTCAAATGGTTGACGGAGTAGGACAAAATTGACCTTGATCAGAAAAAATATCAAATTGCTTCAAAGTTACACATAAAATATAGAATCCGCAGTTGGTAGTGTAAAACAATCCAACGAAAACAGCAACCGCCGAATTTTAAGGCCTCGCCAGCAACCTATTCTATACCCCGGTTGCTGTATAGTTGCAGTGTTTCTCCATTAGCCAACATTGGGCGTATTCATATCTATGTCTTACGTGTGATGTTTGTCATTTCCCCAATAACAGCCACACGAGCTCGGCGAGCTGCAGCCTCGGTGCACTCCGAAATGCCAAATACGCCGCGCTTGTCGGATTTGTATATCAAATCTCACCTATTCAGCACACACCATGGCCTAAATCCGTTTGCTGATCGGCTGTTCGCTGCCTTTTCCACGACGAGTAGCTCGAACACGCGGGTGTGTAACCTCTACTTACAATCCGACACATTTCTCTGGGACAGAGTGATGTCAATGCAGCACATTCAGGGGAACCGGGATTTGGCAGTGAAGGAGATCACCTCCATTTTCACACAACATGTTCAAGGAGCCCAGGCTATTTATCAGCACACTGTCTTCCGTGATCACGGCGTAAGCGTTCCCCTTTCGTTTTCATATCCATATGAAGTTTTCATGCTTTACGAAACTCAATAATCACGCCATATACGATCCAACCTGGTTCTTTCTGCTGCGTAAGATTTTGCATATGTAATTGACAAAACTGCACTATCTTGCATTAAGCGGTCTCTACTCACCACAACCTTTCCCTGTGCAAGCTTTATCATACTCCATGAAGAAACATTTTCGGAGCACTGGACGATTTCAAATATTGCGAAATATTTTTACCTGGCCTGTACTAAAAGTGGCGAACTTGATTTGATTGCAACACGTGTGTTGTAATTCCATGTGGGCCTGCGTTTAACAGCCCGGTTGTTTTAATGAAACCCGCAACACATGAGACATATACTGTGCGACTTCGCATATTTACTGTCCGCTCTGACTGTCCATCTGACGCCTCATTGTCGTAGCTTCTATTTTCAGGGTATTGTGGGTTCATGATTCAAGCTAACCGATGAGGCTTATGAGTACTTGACAACTGCATGTTGGCATCCATGCAGTTATCCGATTCAGTTGCCATCTGAAGTGCATACGTGTGCGTAACCGCTCTGCAAAATAGCAAGAACAACATTACAGCAGAAAAATCGGAATTCAGTCTTTTCTGTTTTCTCATCATCAGTGTACAGACAGTCAGTGGAATCAGTATGCTTCACACACACACACACACACACACACACACACACACACACCGATAAGATCCCAGAAAGAAAATCAAGAGCGGTAGGCGTAAAATAAACAATTTTTCCATTGCTTCTTCATCAGGCTTTTGCAATATCAACCGTGCAAGTGATGTTTGCCATCATTCATTTGTACAAAGAAGAGTAAATACTTGATCGGATTATTTGCAGTGAGATCACAGTTTTAGGTGGATAATCACATGCTCAAACTCATGTGAATTTGCTGACTTGGCTCAAATATGCTTCCTTTTCGATGACAGGCCATGGTAATTGCAAACATTGTATCATTTTCTGTATTATCTCCTTTTTTTCTACACGCACAGATCTGGTCTTCTTAATCGTATGCGAGACTGCTTGCTACTGCGGAGGCGCTCTACATACGATTAACCAGATCCGATCTGTGCGTATAGAAGAAAATGATACAATACAGAAAATGATACAAGCTTTGCAATTACCATGGCCTGCGACTAAAAGGGAAGGATTCGAGTCCAATCAACACATTCACATGATTTTGAGCATGTGATTCTCCATCTTAAACTGTGATCTCGCTGTAAATAATTCGGTCAATTATTTACTCTTTTTTGTACAAACGGGGGCTAGCCAACATCATTATCATGTTTAATACTGACGATTCCCGAAAGGATGAAACGCGCGTACAGTGCTTTTCCGGGCGTGTGATAGCTGTCTGAGTGAGTCTAGATGTGACGAATTTCTACCAATACTGTAAAAGCCTGATGACGAAGTAATGGAAAACCATTGTTTGCTTTTCGTCTGCTGCTCCTGGTTTTGTTTCCAGGATCGACGATACATGGGCATCTTACATGCCAACGAGAAGACAAGGCGTGAAATTGTTCTGTTTAAATAAAGCCACTCGATAACCTCACCAGGGCAAGGCGAGATTAGTCACAAACTCCGTCCACTTACATAGATTGGGTTTCAGCCCACGGGTCGCTGAAGCCTCTGCAAACTGAAACATACGAGCAATACTTTGTCGATTAATGATCTTGAAAAATTCTTGAGAATTGATCTTGAAAATGATCTTGAAAATCTTGAAAAAAAGATCTTGCAAAAATTAATGATCTTGGAAATTCGGGCATGCAGAGCATCGTCATCTACAGCAGTACGTCAGTCATTTGAACTGACACTTCGCTGCCTTGTAACCACGGTGATCTACGGAACGCAGAACAATGAGATGCAGAGAAAGGAGACCTAGCGTAAAACCTTAAGGCCATAGACAAGCACTCCGGATCAATGCGCCTACACCTTGTCAACAACGCCATCACACACGGCTGGCTATCGTGCAAAGATAAGGCAGCATCAGAGAGACAACTTCCTTGCGGCTTTCACTGTCACGCGTCATAATTGGCCTCTACCCTGCAGATGAGTCAGCACCAAACACTTTAGACAAGCAGTCCGACTAGGAGACTACAGCAGACTAGCCACTGGTCTCGACTGCGAGCCATGTCCTGTAACGACTCAGGCCAAGCACAAGACTGGTCACGTGAACTCCAGCTTGGAAGGCGAGAAGGACGGACAGCACCGAGTTCGGTCATCAGTGACATCACTTTCCGCTGCCAAGTTAATTTTTGTCCACCCGGAGCCTTTCTCTACTCTATATTTGGCAAACAAAACAACGCCACCCTCGGCAAGCGGTGATCAGGTGTGTGTAGTACGTGCCCAAGGCAACGCAACTTATTCAGTGCAATCTGTTTTTCTACGGAACTAGCCTGCTAGTCACCGCCTTATGCTGACCTGAACACATCATTGTTGCGGATGCGCTGGTGCTATCCGACACCAGCAATGCTCCGCAAACAGCGGTGATGAAAGGATCGGATTCCCTGCAGACCCTCGGACGAAAGGGGCTATAAGAAAGGATGACCCTCAGTATGAACACGACCTTTCACACCGCTGGAAACCTCTTTCTGACCCCACAGATTTCGCGGATTCGAGAAGGCAGTTCTAGCTTTTGCAATAGGTGAACTGACTTCAGTGGTTATGCGCTCATCGTTACTGATGCAGCTTCCAACTAAAGTGAGTTGATCAACTACAGCAAGTTCCTCACCATCAAGGGTCAAGGGGTCATTAAGTGGCTGGTGGTACTGCAATGGAACTTTGCGCTTTGAAGGTCCGAAGCGCATGCCAAATGATGGGATCACTCTAGGAAAGTTATTTAGGGTTAATTCTGCCGTCACAACATCGTTAAAAATCAAGAGAATATCATCCCCATAATAAATTTCGATTAGCTTATCACCAGACAGCATCTCAACGCCTGCAGCGTGAGGCTTCGCAGGGGAACACTCCATGATGGAATCCACGACTCGTTGCCTAAAGTTAACAAACTTACCTTCTAATCTGACGGCGCGGTTTTGAGCCTGCGTAGGGTCCGGGTGACTCTCGCAGTGTACTTAACCCACGTGCAACTGGTAGAAACCTACTTGCGCTTCCCTGATCCGAGTTTCCCCGTCCGCAGTGAGGCGACGCACGGGAACTGAGGCCAGTAATTTTTTTATCACTGGCCTTAGGCTACTACCCCTGTGGTTGGCACATTCAGTATGACTGACCTTCTCATATATTGCCACTATAATTGATTCACTTAAATTAGCTGGGATCTTTTCTTCCTTCCGGACTTGTTTGGACAGGAAGGTCAGTGTATTGCATAGAACTTCACCATCATCCTTAAGTTATTATTACTCAACACTTGATCAATATACTATTGGTAGTACCACAACACCTAGCTAACAACAACAAAAATGGAAAATACAAATACTCAGTGAAAAGGTTAATAACGTTTAATAGTTTTATGTGTTATGTAGACAGAGATATTCCCGGTTGCTCAGGCCGAGGAAGTGCGTTGACTTAAGGGACCACATCCCGAGCCTTCGGTCATTAAGACCTGACCCGCAAGGCAGCAGGGCGATTCACGCTTATTGCCGAATACAAAGACCGTGGACAGCCAGGTGGCTCGTTCGCTTTGTGTTCGGTAACAGTCCACAGAGAAGCGGGTGGCCAGCAAGACCGTTCATCCGCCCTCTGGTTACAGAAGTGAGTGGTCAGTGACACTCTATCTGGTCACACGAGCTTTGACACAGCACCGTAGGAGCTCTTATGGCATTACATGGAAAACCAGGTGACCAGCCCAGAACTCTCCACGCTCTGAGACGCTGCCACTGATTGTCCACGATTCCTTATTCACCTCGCCCGCACGGCAAACGAGACTTATTCGCCGTTGCCTCCACAAGGTAGGCATTTTCCAGTCCGCAACCTGGGGACGCGCCCGATGGTGTACAAATCCGCCACTGGACCATCCTTAAATAGTGCAAGTGCGAGGGCATCCGCACTGGCAACAGGAAAGCGATTAACGTCTGTTATCGTGTTTCAGACTTCATCCTCTGTTAGCGCATCTAAACTAACCGACCATACCTCATCTTGCAACACCTGAATAAGAAGAGATCCGGAAGCAGATGAACCGAACTGATCTTGAAAGTACTCTTGCCAACGAGCCATACGGTACTCCTTATTGTGAATCAGTGCACCTGCGCTGATTCTGTTTGTCTCTTTGACGCCTGGTTTTCTGGGACCAGTGGTGCGGATCTGTTGGAAGATCTTGCGGTAATTGCTTACTGCTCCCGCCTCCTCCATTTCTTGAGGCCTACTAGTTCACCTCAGTTTCTTCTCAGCACGCAGGCTCCCCTTTAGTCCGCGCCTAGTAATCCGCCTAGTTTCATGTGCTCAGAAACCTATCGGGAGTATTCTGCATTCCAACAGGTTCACCGACCTCTCGGATATCCAGTGACTGGTGCAGTTGATAGCGCTTCAAGCAGAGGCTACCGTATCCTGCACTGCGGTCGAGATCTTGTTCCATTGAAGCTCAGTGTCCTTAAGACGAGAATGCAAAAGTTCCTTACGCGGAGCATCCTGGTAGGTCTGCTTGATTGAGGAGTGAGATAGCTTCTCGATAGCCACTCACTGGTGACGCTTGGTACGCCTCCCCGTAAAGTTCATGGAAATACTACAGATTGCCGAGGCATCATCAGAGTCGACATAAGTATTCCAAAACGTACAACAATCCAGGAAGGAACCATGCCACCTGTAACTTATGGCAACGTGATCTATTTTGACTCCATCTCTGGCCGGCTTCCGGTGGTCCTTAAGTGGCACTTCGATCCCCACTATGTCTCAAAGCGGTGCCGGTAAGAAATTGCTGGCGCTCCGCACACAGCTGTAACAGACGCTCGTCGTTGTCCTCCCCGTCGCTGGCAAGTGCATACTCATTACTTAGCTGAGCTTCTGAAAAGCTCAGACGACTTGCTTTCGCATTCATATCCCCTGCAACAACAACGATGTCTGAACTGGTAACCTTGCGTACTTGCGTGTTCAATTCTTGCTAGAATGGGTCCTTGGCAACGTCCGAACTGCAGTCGTTGGGGGCAGAAACGGTAACCACCAACAGACATTGTCTAATACTGCTTCGTGGATCGAGCTTAGTTGATGTCGTCTAACGGGCTGCACTCAAACGGCTGTTAACTGGAGTCCAATCAGTGAACGTTGACTCATCCTTGGAGCGGAGAACTTTGCCCACCCAAGCTTGACCGTTGAGTGCCACATTAGATTCTCCGATTGCGTGCAACCAATAGTGAGATGCCAAGTGGGGAGCAGTTAATTCAACACCCCATGAGGGTCATTGCTCCTAGTTCCGGACACACCACACAGGTCAATACCAAGTATGTCCAACGTGCGTGCGTTTGCAGCTTGCTGACCTATTTGTCTTATAGTGCGAGTGTTGAACGCCGCCAGAGAAACGGGTCAGTGTGTGCTTATAAAGAGCTGTTTGTGATTGGCGCCCAGTGGGTGGTGCGAGTAGACAGTTGCAGATCGTAAGATTCCAGTGACCTCGCGGCTGTTTTCTATTAAGTTGGGAATTACAGAAGGAAGCGAAGTCAAGAGAAGATAAAAGAAGCAGATAGAAAAGACGAGCGTCGCCAACAGCAACATGTTTTCGCTTATCGGCTGTGCTATAGCGGCAGATAAGGTGACCCTTGATAATCTGCGGGACGGCCGATGCAAGACGTGGTTGGAGTTTGAGGAATTGAAGACATTGTTTGGCGGAGATGATATCGGAATCGCATATTATTTTGGTCCCCTTTAAATGCCAGCTTGATGAATACCTTCTTCCTAAGGACGTCGGGAATACCTTTCTCGATTGATTTGCGTTTGATTTTCCCTCATTCGGATTGAGTAAGCGCTCACTGAATACAGTTGGAGGTCAATCGACAACAACAACAACAACAGCAACAACAACAACAACCGTACATCAGCCTTTTAACTGCTGCTTCACTGCCATACAACCGTGATGGCCTATGGAATACAGCATAATAAGAGGGAGAGAAGGGGGACTTACTTGAAAACCTTAATGCCCTAAGCAATCATTCGGGGTCAAGGCGCCTACACTTTGTGCAAAAGCATACCGTCACAAACAGCTGGCTATCGTGCATAAGGCGGCATCGGGGAGACAGCTTCCTTGCGGCTTTCACTGCCCCGCGTCGTAATCAGCCATTACCATAAGATAACTCAGCACGAAACACACTTTAAACAGGCACTCCGACTCGGAGACAGCAGCAGAGGCGCCGCTAATGTCGGTTGCGAGCCATGTCCTGACGGAGTTTGTTCGTCAGTAACTTCATTTCCCGCTGCAAGGTCCACTTCTGTCCACCTTGAGTATTGCCCCATCCTACCTCTTGCAGACTAAACAAGACTCTTCTAGTTAAGCAATGACCAGGCATACGTAACACGTGCCCAAGCCAGCGCATCTTATTCCGTGCTATCTGTTGTTCTAGAGAACTAGCATGATTATCACTACCTAGTAATCGCCTACTCACATAATCATCAGAGACACGCTGGGGCCATCCGACATCAGCAGTTCTTCGCAGACAACGATGATCGAAGTCTTGAAGGCGCCTCAGTACTTCAGACCGATGGGGCCAAGTTTCACTACCATAGAGCAGGACGGCCCTCACTGCGGCCTTATATACACGACCTTTCAGACGGAGGGATACTCCCTTCTGTCGCCAAAGATGCCGTAGGTTCAAGAGGGCAGCACTGGCCTTTGCAGTGCGTCAGCTGACATCAGTTTCTATGCGTTCATCGTTGCTGATACAGCTGCTTGGATAAGTGGATTGATCAACTACCTCGAGTTTCTCGTTAACAAGGGTCAAGGGGTCATAAAGTGGCTGGTGGCCCTGCAGCAACACTTTACAATTTGAAGGTATGACGCTCATACCAACTAATGGGACCACTAGACATGCTAATCAGGGTTGATTGTACCGCCGCAACATCGTCTTAAAGCAAGACAATATTGTCCGCATACTTAAGATCAACTAACCTTTCACCAGGCAGGGCCTTAATGCCTACATCGTGGGATTCGACAAGGGAACACTATATGATAGAGTTCACAAGGAAATTGAACGAAAATGGAGAAATTGTACTACCTTGACGAACGCCGCTTGTGATCTGAAAGCTATCCGACAGGTTACCGTAGACCCTGACGCGGCCTGTACTGTTCGAGTGTAGAGCACGTAGGATGTTCACATATCTCGTGGGAACACCTTTTCGCGCAAGTATTTCGAAAAGAATGGATCGATTGACTGAATCGAACGGACTCTTGAAATCGAGGAACACAACTATTGTCGGTCTGCGTGGCACTGCTCTAACACCTGTCGCAGAGTGAATATATGGTTTATATAGCCACGTCCTGAACGGAAACCTGTTTGTTCTTCCCTACTCCGAGATTCCCGTTCCACAGTGAGGCGCCGAACGAGTATCGAGGCCAGTAGTTTTGTCACAACTGGTGTTAGGCTACTATCCCTGTGCTTAGCACAGTCAGCGCGACTGTTCTTCTTATATATTGCCAGTGTAATCGATTCACTCCAGTTAGCCGGGACACTTCCTTCCAGATAAGTTCGAATAAGGGAGGTCAGTGCTTTGCAGAGGACCTCACCTCCATCCTTAAATAGTGCAGGTGGGAGGGAATCCGGGCCAGCGGCACGAAAACCATTAAGAGCTGTGATCGCGTTTCGGACCCCAGCCTCAGACGGAGGCCTTAAACTAACTGTCCATGGCTCCTGCATCACCTGAGTAGGAAGAGGTCCGGGAGCAGGAGGCCAGCTGAACTGATCTTGAAAGTGTTCCACCCAACGAGCTATACGGCGTTCCTTATTGTGTATCAGTGCACCCGCGCTGTCTCTGATTGTCTCACTGACGCCTGGTTTCCTGGGACCAGTGTGGTGCGGATCGGTTGGAAGAGCTTGCGGTAATTGCCTACTACTTATGCCTCCTCCATTTCTTGAGCCCGACTGGTCCACCAGGCTTCCTTGTCAGCACGCGCCAAATAGCCCGTCTGATCACATTGTGTTCAGAGCCAGCCGGGAGGTTTATTATGGATTCCAACTAATTCACCCGCTTTTCTGATATCCAGTGACTGGTGCGGTGACGATTAATTGTTCCACAAGCAAATGCTTCTGTGTTATGCATAGCGGTCGAGATCCTATTCCACCTAAGCTCAGTGTCATTAGAACAAGACAGCGAAAGTTTGGTACGCAGTGCGTCTTGATAGGCTTGCCTGACCGAGGGCTGAGACATTTTCTCAGTTGCCAATCGGAGCGGACCCTTGGTGCGCCTCCTCGTAAAGTTCACATAGAAATGATAGCGTACTAAGGCATGATCAGAGTCGCCACAAGTATTCCAGCACGAGCGGCAATCCAGGATGGAACCACACTACTTGTAACTTAAGGCCATGTGGTTAATTTGGGTCCATCACTGGCCAGCTACAGGAGGACGCCAAGTGGCATTTCGGCGCCCACTGTCTAAAACCAGTGCTACTAAGAAACAATATTGTTCTGTACACAATTGAAACAGACGCTCGCACGTGTCCGTCCATTCGGAGGTAAGCCCATAATTGCCACACAGCTGAGCTTGTGAAGAGCCCAGACACCCTACTTGTGCGTTCATATCCCCTGCAAATACTATATTGAAACAGGTAGCACTGCGTAGTATCGTGTTCAGGTTCTGAT